CCAATCAATTGCTTACCATAGAGAAGCAATGGATTGGAACTATGCATGTGTGGCATTGATTTTAGGACTGAATCTGACTCAGTTCTGGAGGATGAAGCGCTTCTAGTGGCTGTCAGGAAGATAACAACTAGAGGTGTATTTACTCTGCAATGTTTCTACAAAACTGAATAAAATGAGGGGGCCATTGGTGATCTGGTGACGTTAGTGGTCCTTTAAGTAATTTTCATTGTTTCTGAGAAAATAATTCAACATAACAACAGAGCACATCATGTCTCCGTGAAAGGAAAAACTGCTGGAAATGTTACCCTTCACACACCCACATTCGTTTTTGAATGTACAGAATAAAGACATTTTCTCGTGGAATTTAGTTTTGGAATGCTCTTTCGTGCTCAGTTCACCGTGTTCCTATATTTGAAATAAATTATTTCTGATTTTAACAGATTTTCTTCCATCTGGACAAAAATCTGCTCTGTGTTTCGTACGGCAAGGCTGGGAAAATATATTATTTTTCTGCCCTGTTGTCTCTTGCAAAGTTATGTACAAAGAATAAATAAATGTCTCTATAAGATTTAAATGCCTAAATCAATAGAAAAATATATGACTACGTTACTCTATATTTTACTCTCCAGTTACTAAAAATCAGCAAAGAAATGTAAGTAGTAATTCAGGAACAACATGGGGGAGATTTATAAAGGCAAAACCGGGGATATTTTTGGTGCAAACTGCTAAATGTTGCAAAACATTCTATTTATTTCCATGAAAATTGTTCCTTAGATAGTTCTTTGCCCCATAATAGCAACTGTTTTTTGTCTTGACAAATCTCTCCAATATTTTTAGTATATGGGGAAATAAATAATGACATTTTAAAAAATGAACAAAATATGTATACAGACAGAAAAGAATTGACAAAAACTGTTATATTAAAACAGGTTGGGGGCTGGTGAGCATTGTGGCGGAACTTCCAGGGTTGCAACAGGATCCCCTGCCTGGCCAGGGTCCTGAAGGTTCTCCTGCCCAGCTGCTCGTTCCTGTAGTAGAACAGTTTACGTGAAAACACGTAGAGCGCTACTTCAGCCCCTGGCCAAGACTTAACGAGGAGACTGGGTGAGAAGGAGCACATCAACAATGAAGAAAAGGGAGCTTAACCCCTTAAGGACCAAACTTCTGGAATAAAAGGGAATCATGACATGTCACACATGTCATGTGTCCTTAAGGGGTTAAAGAACATGGCCCAGTAGCTTACTGTCCTCTCCCTCCCTCACAAGTGTATGTGACACAGAAGGAGAGGCTTGCAGTATCTGGCCATACTTTCTCAAAGGGAAACTTGAAAAAAATATTGTATTTTTGTAGTGTGTCTGTATGTGTATGCATGTGTACACCTTTATGTGCCTGTTTGTGCCTTGGTAGGTGTGTGTCATACTCTATGTATCTGCCTATACATGCCTTTTTATGTGCCCGTGTGTGACTGTGCCTGCCACTAAGTATGTGTGCGCCTGTTTGTGTGTCTGTGTATGCATGTGTCTGTGTAAAAGCCAGTGCCTGAAATGTATAGCCCGTGTGCATGTGTATGCCTGTATGTGTCTGTGTATGCTTGTGAATGTATATGCCTGTCTGTTAATGCCTGTGTCTATGCCTCCATCTGTGTGTGTGTTTGCCTGTGTATCCTTTCTGTGTACAACTACCTGTGTATAAGTATGTCTGTATGTGCCTGTCTCTCTGCCTGTATCTATGTGTACTTGTTTTGGTATGTGTGTATCTGCCTGTGCCTGTCTATGTGCCTGTGTGTGCCTGTGCTTGTCAGTGAGTGTGCCTACCAGAGTGTGTGTGTCTGTGTCTGCTGTAGAATTATATTTCTTTATTTTTAATTTATTTTTAATTCTTTATTTTGGGAACAAGGAGGCAAGCAACGCCACAACAGCGAATACAAGCTCATTAGACATCAAAGAAGAACAATTGTGTGGCATAAAATAACATTGCACATTTTCATGTAATAACATAGATTAATCACAAGGTTAGCTTTTATGTCAGCTCTGATATAAGATTTTGGGAGAATGAGTCATATTTACTTGCTGACATTAGATTTAAGGGTTTTATATGAACAAGCTTGAAAATACAAATAAAAAGCTGTACCTTTAAGAATTTAAAGTGCAAAACTAGTGCATCAAAATAGTGCAGAAGAGAGTGCATACACAATATAAACACACAACTAAATATACAATATGTGCAAAATTGCAAGTGAATTGTGAAAAATAATTTCAAAATTAGTAACTCACAGAAAATAATATCCTTTGGTGCTCCAAATCAAGTTAGAACATATAAAAAAAGCACAAAAGGGTAAACATAGTATAATACTGTTTAAGAAATGAGTATTAAAACCAACAATTTTAAAATTGGAATATCACTCTAACTTATCCAGCTCAGTCAAAAGTAAAACAACCTTTATTTCTTGTAATAAAATCAAAGATCACCGTTCCCATTTGGAAGTCCAATAACCATTTATCAGTGCTGTGTAAAAGATATCTACCAGTCTCTTACAGTTTTCGGCACTGCAGTTACACTTCCTGGAACTCGGAGTTCCGTCCAATCACGTGGTAGACAGACAAGGTTTGATATGTCTAGCGACTATCTGCTACATCCCACCGGGAGACCCCTCTTGTGGTACTTTTGGGTTTCTAAGGGTTAGGGTATGGTCAGTGGATTCAAACAGAAAGGAGATGAAAAACAAAAACAACAACGGGTATACAGTGGTCATACTGTAGTTTGACGCTCATGCAGGTTAACATACATTTAACTCTCTTCTTCGCCCTGCTGTTCCTCCTCCACCTACTAACTTGACTGCCTCAGACTTTTCAACTCACTTCACTGACAAGATCTCTACAATCAGAGAAGAGATCTCTCATCTTTCTTCTTCCCCTTACAATACTTCCCCTAACTTCACTCCCTCTGCTGTTCTATGTTCATTCGCACCCGCTACATTGGAAGAGGTTTCTGCTCTGCTCCAGTCCTCCCGACCCACCACCTGCTCCCTAGATCCAATTCCTTGCATCTCATCCGTACTCTGTCTTCTTCTCTTTCTCCACCTCTCACAAAAAATTTCAATTTCTCTCTCTCCTCTGGTATATTTCCATCACCCTTCAAACATACAACTGTAACCCCAATTCTAAAGAAGCCCAATCTTGACCCTAACTCCCTATCCAACTATCGTCCTATCTCGCTAATGCCTTTTGCATGCAAGATCCTTGAAAGAATTGTGTATGCGAGATTGACAGACTTCCTCAAGTCCAATTTCCTGCTAGACGCGCTTCAGTCTGGTTTCCGCGCTTAGCACTCTGTGGAAACAACACTGACCACAGTTTCCAATGATCTACTCGCTGCAAAATCTCATGGTCACTACTCTATCCTAATTCTCCTTGACCTGTCTGCGGCTTTTGACACTGTTGATCATCAACAGCTTCTTCTCATCCTCCGCAATATCAGTCTAGAAGATATTGCTCTCTCCTGGTGCTACTCCAACCTCTCCCAGCGCTCTTTCAGTGTTTCTTTCTCTGGCTCTGCTTCTTCTCCCCAACTCCTCTCTGTTGGTGTCCCTCAAGGTTCAGTCCTTGGTCCCCTACTGTTCTCCATCTATACTACTCATTAGCTCCTTTGGCTTCCAATATCATTTCTATGCAGATGACATGCAAATCTAACTGTCCTCTCCTGATCTCTCCCCGTCCCTCTTGACTAGTGTCTCTGACTGCCTCTCTGCTATTTCTAACTGGACGGTTGCCCACTTCCTTAAACTAAACTTGACCAAAACTGAAATTCTGGTCTTTCCTCCCTCAAGTGTTGTTACTCCTGTGTCTGTCTCCCTCCAAGTCAACGGTGCTACCATCAGCTCCACCACGCAGGCTCGCTGCCTAGGTGTTCTCTTTGACTCCGACCTCTCCTTCAAGCCTCATGTTCAATCTATCGCCAAATCCTGTCATTTCCATCTCAAAAACATTGCGCGCATCCGCCCCTACTTAACGCCAGATGCGACTAAGGTGTTGGTCCATTCCACTGTCCTTTCTCACCTTGACTACTGTAATCCACTTCTCTTATGTGCTCCCAACTTGCGCCGTTACAGTCCATAATGAATGCGGCAGCGAGGCTCATCTTCCTGTCCACCCGCACCTCCCATGCCTCATCCTTCTGTCAGTCCCTACATTTACTTCCTATAAAATATAGAGCTCAATTTAAAATTTTGGTTCTTGCTTTCAAATCGCTACATAATGCTGCTCCCACCTATCTATCCTGCCTTATACACAAGTATGTCCGTCTAGGTCCTTACGATCTGCTGAAGACTTACGTCTATCTTCTGTCCGTACTCCCACCTCTGATGCTCACCTTCAAGGTTTCTCAAGGGCTGCACCGTTCCTGTGGAACTCGCTTCCCTCCTCCGTTAGATGCTCACCCAGTCTCCACTGGGTGAGCATCGTTAAAAACTCACTTCTTCATAAAAGCGTATCAATTAAACTGTTAATAGCTCCTGACTGATTCCTCTTCAGCAACTGTCACTAGTCTAATACTAACTTTACCTTTTTGTGTCATTTTACCCCACTTCCTCTAGCATGAAAGTTCATTGAGCAAGCCCCTCAAACCCTCTGTTCCTGTGTATCCAACTTGTCTGGTTACAACTACATGTCTGTTCGTCCACCCATTGTAAAGCACTGTGGAATTTGATGGTGCTATATAAATAACATAATAATAATAATAATGCAGGTGTATGTCTGAGTTACTTTCTGCAAGTATGGCCTTGCGAGAGGTAGCCAGTCCAGTGCCATCTGTCCCATAGAGTCCTGTAGTGCCTCCCCCATCAGCCTATGCATTCAGGAGTCGCAAGCCAGTCCTGCCGCATGTCGACCAGGTCTTTACGCCAGTGTGAAAGTCGGCGAGCCTGCAGGTACCGGTATATTGCCTTTAGGCAGGAAAACGGTCGTCTCCTTGTGTTCCAGCTGGGTAGGTGAGGAGTGGCTCCGTCAGCTGTTATGGAGGGGCAGTTGAGTCTGAGTGCCGGTCCCTGGGAGGTTGGGGCGCCATGCCTGTGTGTGAAGCAGTTCTTCTGTGTCAAGTTTTGTGGGCGCCTCTTCTGTCTCCTCTGTAGGGTGCGGATGCGTCATTTGCGCTGTGGGCCCTGACTTCCCCCCCCCCCCTGATTTTCATCTCCGGACGGTCAAATGAATGTTGCTGCTGTTTAGGGTGCTCACCTGTCCCCTCCAGCGTGCCGTGCTTAGGAGTGGCTGTGTCTGCCTTCTGTGAGGAGAGGCCTGCCGCTGTTTTTGCACAGAGTCTGATCTGCTCCCAAAATGCTGCGCAGATGTGGTCGAAAGCCTCCATTAGGCTCCGGTTTTGCCCCTCAGGGTCGTGTCCTGTCTCCATGTGGGGTGCCGAGTCTGAGCGCTGGCGGGTGTACTGTGTGCGCAGGTCAGTCCTGGAGGTAGGGTTGCAGCGTGAGGTGCCGGGATGTCCCTCACCGGCAGGGGGGGGGGTGGGGATCGGGGTATCTCACCAGGGCATTCTCAGTAGTTCGTGGGTAGAGGGATCGCCCGCCTCCTTCACTCCTGTGTCGCGTGATAGGCCGCAACTAGGCCTCAAGCTTGCTCCAGTGAGATGCTGACCGGTTGACGAGGAGCCAGCAGCCAGTTTAGTTGCCTTGGGGTTATAGGGTCACAGCAGGGTCTTCTGGTGTCATGTTCTGGTGTAGAGTCCGCTTATGAGATTATGAGATTTAGGTGGAGTCTGTATGTGCATCATGTCACGGTGAAATGCTGCACATACAGAGAAAATGCACACTGCTACCATTGGTGGAACTCTACCTACTAGAGTGTCATTAGCTAGTCAAGAATAAGAGTTCCAGGCAGGTTTATGTTAAATCTGTACATATTGGGTATCTGTCATCAGCACACATACTAAGCAAATCAATATATAACTTTTTGACGTGCGTTTTTCTGGATTTTTTTTTTATTTTTTATTCTGTCTCTCACTGTTAAAATACACCTACCATTAAAATTATAGACTGATTATTTATTTGTCAGTGGGCAAATGTTCAAATCAGCACGGGATCAAATACTTTTTGCCCTCACTATATTTGTGCTGGTGACAGACAGCCAATGGCGTGATGCTTCCCTCCCACTCCAATACATCATATACGTGCTGATAAGGTCACGTGAATGGCACAGACCTGGTACTGAATTTGTAAACCCATCAAGCGCACCTTTTCTTACCCATTTCTAATTATTGTACACCTAACAGCATGTTACTTTGTTACACCATCTTATTTAGTAATCTTACCCGGTTTACTTTCATCTGGTAGACTGGACAAGGCTCATGCTTGACTAACCCTCCAGCTTAGCTATTTCTTCTTACTATAAGTGAAATGTTAGGTGTGTCTACTTTAAGGCCCAGTAATCTGTTACTATCCTGTCTTTCAACATTTCTGTTATGGTCCCACTCAAGATCAGTACGCTGGTACTCGAAGGGCTCCTTCATACCTGCGCAGTGACTGATGAATCAAGTTTTCGCTACAAGAAGCTAGAAGAAGGAACAGAGTTCAAGTCAAGTTAAATGAAAAAGCCTTGAAATATAGAGACCTTTTTCGTAACATGTCTTCCATCGACCACCTAGAATTGAATAGCAGCAGAATTTATTTGAAATTATGAAAAAGGCATTTGGTATGATGGAGCGAAATAATGTCCTTAATTTTTAGTTTGGCATACCACTGGTGGATATCAGTCCATCCTGAACTGTGGGGTTTTAGTTGGTGCCACATTTTCCAGGGCAGAGCAGAGGAAACAGTTGTAAAATGCAATTACAACACAGAGTTGAAATCGGTAAAAGGAGAAATTGAAGATCAGCAGAATAATGCTGCTGATAAAGTAAGGGGCATCATCTATTGGACTAAGAAGATGTCTGGCAAACGTGTTTAATGCTTCAAGAAATGTTCCAAAATTGAGTCTACGTCTACCCTATGGCTTTCTTACAACTTTCTATTGGACTCAAACCTCAGGCAGGGAAACTTTGTCTTTTATTCAACCGGGGGTTAGGGTGAGGCAGATATATGGAGGAGAGAGAGGTTGACCTTAATAAATAAATAAATCTGGTCAGCATAATTTTTAAACTATGAGTATATCTCTATGAGATTGATCTGTAATTTACTTTATATTGCAGTGAAATTAAGGGTCTTAATTTGAAAGTGAAAGTGAAAGTTTTTGAAAGTGAAAGTTCTGCATTTTTGGGGAGCAGTGCCTGTAATTGAATAACGTGTTGCAGAAAGAAATACTACCACATGTACTGAGTGGATAACTGGATCTTTATATTTCATTCAGGAGCAAGTAGTATATAAACTGTAGCTAAAAAAAAAACATACAAAATTATTATTATTATGACATTTATAGTGCGCCGTCAAATTCCGCAGCGCTTTACAATGGGTGGACGAACAGACATGTAGTTGTAACCAGACCAGTTGGACACACAGGAACAGAGGGGTTGAGGGCCCTGCTCAATAAGCTTACATGCTAGAGGGAGTGGGGTAAAATGACACAAAAAGGTAAGGATAGTATTAGACTAGTGACAGTTGCAGAAGAGGAATCAGTCAGGAGCTATTAACAGTTTAATTGATACGCTTTTATGAAGAAGTGGGTTTTTAACGATTTTTTGAAGGAGTGGAGACTGGGTGAGCATCTAACGGAGGAGGGAAGTGAGTTCCACAGGGACGGTGCAGCCCTTGAGAAATCTTGAAGGCGAGCATCAGAGGTGGGAGTATGGACAGAAGATAGACGTAAAATAGAGATTTATTGGCAAAATTGTTACTTTGTATTTGTCATAAATAACAACCAACAGACCATCAGTGTAGCTCTTGGCATATATGTTGATTATTATGTATATTTATTTTTCTGAAATATTTTACTCACGTCTCATACAGGTGAAGTTCCAAATATCTCTGTGAGATATTGCATAATTCCTGGCAACATTTCTTGAGTTACTTCCAAACATTTTTGCTTCTTAAAAATAGTGGTTGCAGGTTGGCACCCTATGTGTGTCTTGTTGTTTCCCAGGTTTTATCTAGCTCCAACTAACTTTGCCTTCACATGCAGAGATTTCTAAATATCTTTGCAATGTAATTGATATTTAATGACTGTGTGGTGAGCTTTATCATAGTTGTACAAATATGGCTACTGTAAGGAGAAAAAGTCTGTTTCCGAGCCCCAGGTATTGTTGGTTTAGAGAGAATTGTTATTACATGTATAAGCTCATTTTTGTTGCTGTGTCAAGTTCTACATCTGAGACATTTTCAGTACAAGGTAAGGAAGTCAAGGTTGCAATTCTAATTGTGACCAGTAGGTGCTGCAAATTCTTTATGGCTGTGTCACCTTTATACCAAATATTGTACAATGGATATAGTGTATTCACATTTTGTTGTTTACATGGAATTGAAGAGCAGTTAGATAATTGATTGGGCATGTAGTCTACTACTAAACCACCTTCCTCTTATTCTTCTGTAAACCCCTGAAGAAAGACAAATTCATAAAAGCTTAATAACACAATTCTGTTCTCCCTTCCCAATACTCCCTGCCTGATACACCATGCCCAATACTTACGTCCCAATATTCCCTGCCCAATACTCCCTATTCCATAGCTAACTATTACCTGGATTGACACCGTACTTAAACTGCAACTCCTTCAGCTTCGATAATGATAAATATTCAATATTCCAAGTTCTCTGTATCCATGGTTTATAATTTACTATATGACTGTATAACAGCTTAATAAAATAAATACAAAATGCACAAGTATATTGAGTGTTTCATATATTTTGCTTACATGTCCATTGGTGGTAACTGTAAAGGTATAATGAATGCATATTTTTAGTTTGCGTCTATGTAGGTGGATGTTTATAAATGCACAGTGTTTACATGTTTTACATAAATAGGGGTATGTGCTATATCTGAGCTAAGTCTGGATACACTTTATGTATATCAATGTATTATGTCAGGTAAGATAAATGACCCAATTAGGTCCTGATCCCAATCCAGTATTGGAATTCAATCAGATCAGGTGTTACTGCATGAGTTTTTTCACGACACAAAATTACAGTCCCATAAGAACTCATGGGGCTCATGTTTTAACCTGTCTTTGTTTACAGAATTACAAAGTAGATGGTCAGTGTTTTGGTCCATCAATGACTTTTTTCACATCCATTATTGACTGTCAATTCACAAACTGGCTGTACATACATTGGACCCATCAGAAAGTGAGACAATACAACACTTAACGCCCAGACCTAAGACTGAAACATCTAGGTGAATGCTGTCTCCATCCTCCTTCTTAAAATTAATTTACTACGTAAACAGTAGCAATGTGTGTTTGCATAAGCATTCCCTTCAGCACGCTTTTTTTTGGACAGCCTTTGTTTAGACTGTTAAATTACAACTTGTGGACCTGCTCTGGTTCTTCCTTAGGATAAACCCAATTATCACAATGTGTTGTTATTGCAGAGCAACTCATGTAAATTTGCTGTTTGTTCACTTTGCGGAGATCACTCGAGCTGTGCTCCTCTACAGTCAAGCAATGACTCTATTGACGAAATAATGAGTATCATTCTGTCCTCTATCACAATGTTTTTTGGGAGTAATAAAAACATTTACAGTGAGCACACAAGCTCTTTTTATCCATTATTTCTCTAACAAAGAGTGAATTGTTCTCGTTCTATATCCCAGAATAAGGATGAGGGACAATATTCTCCCAAAGCACTGTCACATTAATTACATTAAATTATTTTTCTTGTATGTTATTAAATGTAATGCAGCAACAGATCTATAACTGTAATAATGTCTGTAAAAAATGGCAATATAATGATCACTTCTGAATTAAGTACCATTTCAATACGGCTACTACAACTTTATTGTATAGTTTAATAACAATGTCTATCCATCTGTCTGTCTGTCTGTCTATCCATCTAGCCATCAATCTGTTTGTCTACCTAGCTGTCTGTCTCTCTGTCTAACTGCCTGTCTCTCTGTCTAACTGTTTGTCTTTCAATCATATTCTATACTAAAAATATCCTGTGGGAGTAATCTAGTAAATGATTATGTTGTGCGTAATCATAGAATGGATTAACTTCCTTCATCCATCTCCCAAACTCTGATTTAGAAGCCATTATTTTGCAGTGAGTTTTTTTTATTCCAATAAACTCTATTACGCAGTACATGACTCTAGCTTGCATTTAATAGAATAGAGTGCACTAATTCTCCAAACCCTTAAAGGGACATGCATATTTGTCTTTCATATATATATTTCTAATGACAACTACTGATACATAGACTGGAGTTTACTGTGAAGAACTTGCTAAGTAGTCCTATAGTCAATTAACTGAGTGCCTT